CTATCACTTTCTTTTCTGTCTATCTGACTCTTCTGTTTATCAAACTCTTCTGTCTATCCAAACACAGATTTTTTACGCTGGGAAATCCTCGCATACCGCTAGCTGGTGCGTCCTACCTCTTTCCTATTACTTTCTTTTCTGCCTATCTGGCTCTTCTATTCGTCGATCTCCTCTGTCTATCCAACCCTCTGTCTATCCATATTTTTTTTACGCTGGGAAATTCTCGCGTGCCGCTAGGTGGTACATCTTACCTCTTTCCAATCACTTTCCTTTCTGTCGATCCAAATCTCCTGTCTATCCAACTCTCCTGTCTATCCAACTCTCCTGTCTTCTGTCCATCCAAGCACAGGACTCTTTTCACAGGAAAGTAAATTTTATTCTTCGTTTGTCGCTCTCTCGTGGTTGTCGTAGCCTACGTTCTAACTCGTTCCTTTTACTTTGTCTTCTGCCTCTCTAAATCTTCTGTCCATTCAGTTCTTCTATTTATCCAACCCCTCTGTCTATCCGCTTTGTTTGTGATCACGTCTACGAGCCCCGACGTACGACCATTTTCGTGTCAGTGTGCGTTAGACCTACTACTTTTATGAGACACCCCCCCCTCACACCCCAATCCCCTGAAGCTGTAAGGGGCCCCCCCCCCCCGACCAAGCCCCACCATCTCTTAGCGACTCGTGACTGACATGTTCACGCGTACCGTACACAGATACCGCCGTTGTCCTTGAGTGTATGGACATGACATGAAGCAAGATGGTCTCATTGTAAGGTTACCCACAACTAGCAAGTTTCGTTTTGCTTTGCTTTGTTGTTTGGTTTTGTTTTTTCTCCATTTTCAATGAACTAGCGTCTGTGGCGTACTAGTGGTTGGGCGCTTAGCCGTCGCTCGTAGAAGACCTGAGTTCGATTCCGGAGTGAGGAGAACATTATTTTATATGGAGCATCTCGGTCTTTCTGCTGGGATGTCGTATCTGTGTCAGCTCGGGTTGGCCCTGTCAGGCAGGATAAAATTCCTGGATAAAAATTCCGTAAGCCCGCTTTCTAAATTATCTAAATTTTGTCGATAGGCGCGTAAAAACGCCTACATTATTTTAAAAAAAGGACCCAGCGTCTATGGTGTGACAGTCAGGGGTGCCGTCCCCCCTTTATTTCGTTATTTTCACGAGAAGAGCAATTAGTCGCTTTTAAGCACAAGTGGGCTATCCCGAAAAATGCTGTTTTGAGAAAATCGAAGCTTAAGTTTTTTATCCTTATTCAGCACCTTTAAAAGACAATGAGTTTTCTTTATATACCAAGCAAACATACACAACAATGAAACCAAACTTCTCCTATAGGTAGGACAATGCCCACTTTTGGTGTAGGTCAAGGTTTCTGGAAACTCCCGAAATTTGGGTTAGCCCGCTTGTCTTTAAATTGACCAATTGTCAATATATTCTAAGCATTCTGTTTAACTGGAACCCAAATTAGTTGTGTCCGTTGGTTGTCTTTTTATGTGCTTATGCAATTTCCTAAATTTTCTGTTATTTTCACAAAATCTCCGTGGCATTCCTGGTATTTAAACTCTTCTATGGGGGCTCTCGTGGCCTGGAGGTTAAGGTGTTGGCCTCTCATTCAAAAAGTCCCGGGTTCGAATCCGGGTAGCGACCGAAAAATTTTCTTCTCTAAAATTGTCTCCTTTCACCTTCTTTCCTGCTCTCTATCAATGTTCTGTTGTCTGCTTTAATTTCCTCTTTCTGTCCCCACCCTTCACCTCCTTTGCCCCCTCCTCTGGGCTCCTGACTCTTTCTGCTGCCTTTCTACTGCTACTCCTTGGTTTCTCCTTACTGCTGTCTTTCTGCCACACCCCTGATCTTCTGGTAGGAAAGATCTACACCTAGCCTTCTCGGACAAGGGCAAACAAATCTCGGAGGGCCCGTGTGCAAGTTGCGCACGTTAAAGATCCCTTGGTGGTCTAAAATCGATAAGAGTAGGCTTCGGCCGCCACCTGGGCAAAATTCAAAAATTTCCTACCAACTGAAAATATTAGGTGTGTCCCGCGCGCTCATATGACCTTATGCAGTTGCGAGCGCCGTAAAACACTTTACAAAAAAACCAACCCCCCAAAAAACAAAACAAAAAAAACTCTTCTATATTGCACTGCGCACAGACGACGAAGGTTCGATTCCCATGAGAGGATTTTTGACGGGTGATCTGGTGTGATTTGTTCCTTTTTCCTGTCAAACATCTATCGTCCGTGTCTCTCCTCCTTCTTTTTGTGTTTGTTACTCCCTTGTAACACCTCTAATCGTGGGTGGTTGGCGAGTGATCTGGTTTGGTGTTCTTCTTCTTTCCAATCAAACATCTATCGTCCTTGTCTCCCCTTTCTTCTTTTTTATGTTTGTTACTCTCTTGTAACACCTCTAATCTTCTGGCGCTCATATGACCGTATGCAGTTGCGATCGCCGTAAAACCTCTACTAAAACTAAAACTTAACACCTCTAATCGTCAGTACTAAAATGACCTTGTTATGTTGAAAGTGCCGTGTGAAACTTATACTATAACTAAAACGATTGCCGTGAGGAGGTGGAATGTTATTTTATCTTTTCTTTTCTCTCTGATGTATCTGTCTGCCTTCCTCCTTCCTTGCTCCGTAAGCTCTGTTGGTATCATGCAGGACTACGAAGCGGGTGGCTTTGGTTCGAATCCCCAACAGGGCGTTCTGAACTTGGGCTCCGTCCTATCGTAGACTGAAAATTAAATCCGAAGGTTCTTTCTTCTCTTAAAAACCTTACTCAGTGTTGAAACGGGCATTAAATAATATTATTTTAAACTCATTTCTTGGCGGATGGTTGAAGGGTGCCACTGGTCGGCCCTACTACTTTGTGCTGTCTCTGTTGTTTCTGCCTGTCTGTCTGTCTTACTTTCCCCCAGCACTAAATGGCCAGTATTGTGTCGATGCGTTTCTCTTTATACAAACTCAAACAAACAAAAAGTGGATGGTTGGCGGGTGCTCTGGTGTGGCTTGCTTCTTCTTTCCTATCAAACATCTATCGTCCTTATCTCTCCTTATTTTTGTGTGTGTTTTGTTACTCCCTTTTAACACCTCTAATCTTCAGCACTTATTTGACCTTATTGTGTTGCAAGTGCCGTAAAACACTTATTAAACTAAAACACAAACAAAGCACGCTACGGTTAGTTGCAAGTTTCCCGAAAGGCAAGGAAAAATTGCTCGGGATCACTTGACTTTTATAATTGTCCCTTTCACGTCTCAGGCTACGAGTCAGAAGGTATCGTCTTCAACAGTACTTTCATGTTCTCAGTTGTAGATGGGACCTTTTAGCTTTTGAAACGCGGTGCGCCACTCACTGTTTGGGAAAGAAAGAAGCCCCTGTCCGCTGTACGCCCC